GTTTTATTAACTCGTGCATTGTTTGCCATGCTTTATATTTTAATATTTTCTTGAAGTTTGGTCTTTACAATAAGAAAGTTTTCGAATTTTGTTATTTAAGAGATTTTTAAAGCATAATATAATGGAGCCCTTTTAAAAAAGTATAAACACTCAAAACTAGAGCTTGGATCTGGATAATCTGGATATCTGTTGGCTCATCTGAATTGTTATTCAGCAGGGATACGGGGAAAATGCGATTTATTTATAGGATTTTGAAAATCCTATAAATAAAATCGCATTTTCCCCGTGTCCCTGTTATTCATTACAGCTATTATCATAAGATGTGGTTAAGTTTGTGATTTCGGCATGATTTGTATAATAAAAGATATTTTTGAAAATATAATGATTATTATTATTTTATAGATCGTTATAACTATAATGTCAACGTTATTAAATTTCGTTCGAATGCTTGTCCAACATGTTTGGTGTGTTTAGTTTGTACAGTACCGGATAGTAAAATGCATCCACTCTGTATTGGTAGAAACTTTAAATTGTTATAACTCTTTTAAAACAAGATAAATCACAAATTGATGGATCTTTAGCTAAATTACATTTCAGTCAGAGGATTTTCTCTTATTGTTTGTTTTAAGAAAGTTATAAAGAGTTAAAGTTTATAATGGTTTAAAAAATTGGCGGTTAATATAAAAAAAAAAATGAAAAGATAAAGATTTATTTAACCAATCAGAATCAATTGTGCCAAAATTAGCCAATCAAAATCGATTATTTAAGCACTAAAATTGGCGCATTATATAGATAGATTGGATGTCCTTTACTGTTCAGTACTGTATGAATATTTATGGAAGACAGTTCTTGTCAATAAACAACCTTGACAAGAAATATAAAAAAGTTTCGGATATAAAATGTCGGAAATGATGCTGAAATCGGATGATGCTGAAATTTTGATCTATTTTATTATGAAATTTTAAAAAATTTTCGGCCTTTTCGTTAGGGTTTAGGGTTATTGTTGTCAGTAAAAAAGTATATGTGAATTTAGTAGGTATTATAGATTTAAATGGGGACTCTAAATTTCAGCATCAGTCAATTTCAGAATCATCCCCGACATAAAATAAACTTTATAATAAACATATTACACGAATAAGTGTAATTTAAAATGATCAAGAATTTATCGATTGGTTTAAAATGTAATTAGAGATTCCCGAAAGTCATGATTATTAGTATTTATCGAAAAAAATTGGATTTCTAAAAAAGTGATGGAAGTTTTCGACTTATAGAAGACCTGCTAACACATAAGTGGCAATTTTTCGAACTGACAAGCCTTCAATAATGGCCTGTAGGGAAAATGACAGTTGAGGAAATGAGAGTAAACACTTATTTCTTACTGCTTTTCAAAATACATATATACAAATTTAATGTCTATATTGTTTTATTCGTTTACTATTGAATAAATAAATTTATTTCAAAATGGACAAAAATAAAAAAAATTAAATATGTAAATGGACAAAAAATAGAAAATTAAATATGTAAAATGGACAAAAATAGAAAAAATTAAATATATAAAGAATAAAAAAGTTAAATTATAAAAAAAAAATTAGCCAGATAAACCAGAAGCGAAACCACAAGCTGTTACAATTCTATGTGGAACTTGATTTCCTACAAATGCAAGTACAATAGAGTAATTAGAAGGCAAGTGGGGAGGTGCTCTTGTTGTAAAATCTATCTGATAGTAATTAGTTGGACATTGAGGGTTACAAAGATTTCCTGTAAAGCCGCCTCCTGATATGGGATTATTATTTGAATCATAAAATTCAACAACAAATGACGCATCCTTAGTCACACTTTTAAGTAATGTTGCTGAACCGACAACCGTGAAATCCTCATTTGATTTTACAGGATCAGATGTAAGTGTTGCATTAGTAATTACCGTTAACTTCGGGGTTTTTACCGGTAATAAAAATCTTGAAGGGCATTCAATAAATTTGGTTTCTCTTTTATTCAATTGATACGGAACCGAGTTGACCATTGAAAGTGCAGTCAGAAAAAAAAATAAAATGATTAAATTTCGGATCATGGTTATTATTCTTTATAAGCTAACAAAAAAGTCTTTTCTATAAGAATTTTTATGTTTGTGATATTTTTATTATTTTGATTCAAGAGTAAATTAAGTTGTTGTCTTTTTATAAAAAAGAAGAAAAAGAAAATCACTAGATATTAAAAATTGGTTCTTCTTAAATTAGTAATTAGTATTATTTGTTCCTGGGGGTAAAATTATAGCAGAGGTTACCGATGATTATAGCACATGGATGGCCGAAGGGCCATCCACGTACGTACTATGATCATCGGTAACCTCTGCTATAATTTCCTTCAGGAAATAAATAAATAATCTCCAGGAGCGTGTCACTAGGTGTTAATCGGACTACCATATCATTATTTTTACACGTGTTCCATATTTATATTTGTATTGTACTTACTAACTTTTGGGCTTCACTTTATTTATTTTTTTTTATTTACATCATTTTACTGTTTACTTATTTTTATCGCCTTTGCCTTTTACTTCTACGTTTAACTTTTTTCAAACTCTTACTTTCACTTTGCTCTTATCGTGTTCTTTTTTAGCTTCATTTTACTGTGTTTATTTACTTTGGCTTTTAAAGTTCTTTATATAAAACGTGAAACATACAAAAAAGAAAATGATTCAAATAAAAATTAAGCGTAAAAAATCAGAGTTTCCCGATAATCAATGTGAGACCGAGAATCTTTCATAAGAAGGTTCCCGGTCACAATATGATTATTATAAATATGGTTAATCGCGTGTAAAAAATAATAATGAAGGTAATCATGAGTGACACTTAATGCGACAGGGGATTATTAAATACATTTACACGTGACAGGTATTTGCATCAACATTTATCCTTGTAAGATAATCTATTGAATCAGTTTTGTCTTTATCTGTAATGGTCACGAACTTATCGGGATCCTCATTATGATCTATAGCCCACTGCCTGAGACGTTTTTCCCGTTCTTCTCGGGGGATATATCCAGGTGGATATGTTTCCAATTGGGTACTGGCTTCTTCATTGCTGGGTTTGGGTGAATTGGAAATTTGAAGCTTTGCTTTCTCATCATTTGCCGGTAAATCGGGAGATATCTCTGGCTCATTATTTACTAATGAGGTGCCTCGAATCTCTGATTCCTCGATAATTTCTGAAGATTTGGATTTATCATTCACAACTTCTACATCCACGATCTCGGGAGGCAGAGATATATCTGTAGACTTAGATGATGATGCAATTGAATTTTCCGGTTGATCTATTATAGAATTGAAGAGATCCTGGGTCATATTAGTAACAGGTGGAGTAGACAATGTATTCTTACCTTTTTTGATATGATTGGTGGTTAATGGAATGGGATCTATTTTTTCTGGTTTAGGAGATGTAACAATTTCAGGTGCATCAAATACAGGGATCTCTGTGGATATGCTGGTGGATATTCCGGCATGAGGTGTGTCTGAAAATTCTTCGATATTATCTATTAACTCACGTAATTTAGCTATGATCTTGGATCGGTCAAGGATGTAGACCCATTCTCTTTTTCCATTAACCCGTACTTGCTTGCATTCTATACCAATCGTTGGAGGAGTTTTTCCAAATTTTTTACTAGTGAATGAATTTTCACCATTTCTTTCACACCAAATACGATAATCCTGGTATAAATTCGAACATATTGTTTCTTAGTCCTATTTTCAGGCCAAGATGAAATATGATCAATTATGAATCGAATTGGATTTACTAGGTGTTCCATCATTGTATCTGTTTTTATTTTAGTAATAGAAATATCTTGTGGATTCTAATTTGAGATATCAAAACTGAGTAGATAAGCCATAACTATACTAGGCACGTCGGGGTGTTCTAACACTTTGGCTAAATTTTTAAAATATGCTGTATTGCCTTTGCAACAGGAAGATACATTAAAATACACAATATGCCGATCACCTATTTCTACTCGGAGTAGAGCATCATGATTACTTAATACCATAAATCTAGCATAATCTTTTAGAACTTTGGATTCGAGTTCTTTGCACTCAATTGTTAAGTAATCTTCTGTAATAAGCAATTTGAAATGATCATTATATTTGTGCCAGTCCCTACTACTCATTCCTGTTTCATTCATAATGATTAATTTGCGAGCCTGGATACAACTATTAAACCTTTCCAATATTTTCTCAAGATCAGAAGTTGCATAGAAAAATTCAGAACCCAAAATTTGTTTATCTATAAAATCAATTAAGATATTTTTTTTACAGCCCAGTAAGAAATGTAATACTGAAATGGTTCCAGGCTTCTTAGATGGTTGTCGTACTAGATATCCTATCCAATGCCAGAAATATTTACTAAGTTCTTTATCACCACTAGAGATTATATTTTTTACATGCCATAAAATTGGATCCATAATGGTGGGATTAATCTCTCTTGCTGGCTGAGCTTTGAATCCTAGAAAAAGATTAAAGAACTTGATATTTGGTGGTAAGGTATTTGGTGAATATGGCAGAAAATTGATATTATGATAAAGAATCAGACCTTCAATGACTGCTTGATTTACTAATATTTTTAATTCAATTGGTTCCTCTTGATATTCAGTTATTTTTATTTTGTATTTAGCAATATCTAGTTTATGTGCCATATCGAAGAAAAGTCCATTATCTGAGTCTGCTATTTTAAGTAGCCAAAATCTCGAAGATGTTTGAATACATGCAACTGTTGCTTGAATTGCCTCATATACTTCATTATAGATAAAAATATTCTTAGATGTACATATATCAATTAAGTCTCCTTATGTAAAGTAATCATTTGGATCTGAAATTCTAGACCATTCTAATTTTTTTAGAAAGGGACATTTTTTTTCTTTATTTTTAATTGTTTTGTTGAAAACAAGTTTTAATAATGGTTTCCTTGTACTTGATAGCGTCTCTTGATCTGCTCGATAACAATAATATTGATAAATTTTCTTATTGTAAAGACCAAACTTCAAGAAAATATTAAAATATAAAGCATGGCAAACAATGCACGAGTTAATAAAAC